AAACTAATGATTGAAGCCTATTTTCTTGGAGAAGATTTTGCAAACTTTGTGCAGCCTCACTGCTGCAGTTTTGAAGCCCAACCCAGTCCAAAATGAAGTTATAAGTAGACTGGTGTATACCTAGTATTAGGTGGAACTTATGTGTGTATTTTGTGTTAGGGTTTTTAGAATCCTTATTGTTAGGTTTTAAGTTATATGTCAGATGTTCATAAGCTTTTAAGAATTGAGCATTTGTGTGTCAAATGCTCATAAGGTGTTAAGAATTAAGCATTTGTGTGTCAATTCTCATAAGCTTTTAAGCATTGAGTTTTATGTGTTTTGGAAGTGTGTCTTCTAGTTTTTATTCTCTACTTCTGTTTAGAGTTGTTCCAATTGATGTGTGTAATTGAAGTGGGATTTGAGGAGGGACTCATACCTAGGTGTATCTTAGGTAGAATTTAAGCAAAGGGTAATGATTAAGTGTGTAGGCTGTAAACTTGGATGTTTGCTGTGAGGTCTACAAATTGATATTATCTAGTTAATTTCTTCCTTGACTTGGTAGCCCCTAGAGTAGGAAGGTTGTTCCAAACTGGGTAAACATATCTTGTGTTATTTACTTTCAGCACTGCTTATTTTTGTCAATACATCTTGTTGTTGTGTGTAAAGTCGGATCCAGTGTCTCGATATCTCTTAGGACATCTGGGATCTGATATCCAGAATTTCACATATAAGGCTTTATGCAACTTGTACACCATCCCTTTCTGATTCTTTTTCACAAATCCAGGAGGTTGTGACACGTATACCTCTTCTTGAAACAGACCGTTTAGAAATGCAGACTTCACATCCATATGCATCAGAGGCCAATTCTTATTCACAGCTATAGCAATCACCAGTCTGATTGTTTCATGCCTAGATACAGGCGTAAATACCTCAAAGTAATCTATCCTAGGTTTCTGAATAAAACCTCTAGCCACTAGCTTTGGTTTGTGCTTGCCAATTGATCCATCTGGCTTAAATTTTACCTTGAAAACCCATTTAACGCTGATGGTTTTCTTCTCCTTTGGAAGCTTAGTCAACTTTTAAGTCTTGTTTCTTTCTATAGCCTCAAGTTCTTCTTTAATGGTATTCAACCATACTTTCTTCTTGAGAGCATCTTCATTACCCATTGGTCCAGGGTCTACTAACATGGCACACTAAACGACTTATCCCTCAGAGTCTACTGCGGTGTCTTGCAACATGTCAAACTCTGTAAATCATCTTGGTATTTGCCTGATCCTTTAAGGTCTCTGAACTCGTTCTGAATCTTCTCCAGAATCTGGGATTGTGTTAGCTTTTGGACCTCGTTCAGAACCCCTACCTTCAGAAGTACCACCTTCAAAAACATGATTACCTCCAGAAGCTTGTCCTTCAGAAACATGATTACCTCCAGAAGCTTGTCCTTCAGAGTCTACGTGTTTAGAAATTCCCCTTCCAGGAGCATGATCACCACCAGATTCTGGATCATCGTAGAAATATGTATCAGAATCAAATTCACCATTTTACTCATCTTCAGAGTCTCCAGAGTCATCTTCTGACTCTGACTCATCTTCAGAATTTTCGTTATGACTCATCTTCAGAACCTTCTAGAGTATCTTCAAAATCTAACTCTAGTGTTGGTACTACACCAAAAATAGATTTAGATTTGCTCTTATCCCAAACTTCTAACTCTTTCACAATGATGTCTCTACTGACTTCCACCTTATTAGAGTCTGAACAGTAAAGCTTATGTGCACCTGTACTCTAGTACCCCACCAGTAACATTACTTTTCTTCTATCATCCATCTTCTTTCTCGTAGCTTCTGGAACGTGTTTGTAACATACATAACCAAAAACCTTCAGATGGATAACACCTTGCTTGTCTCCAGTCCACTTCTCTATAGGAACAATTTCCTTTAACTTTTCGTTGGACACCTATTGAACTCATATGTTGAAGTGGCAATAACTTTTCCCCACAAGGTATGGGATAGCTTCTTCTATTTTAGCATGCTTCTTGACATATCAAGCAAAGTTTTATTTCTTCTTTCAGCAAGACCATTGTGCTAAAAAGTGTATGGAGCTGTAACTTCATGCTCAATTCCATTCTCCTCATATAACTTTTGGAATTTTGTAGAGTTATACTCACCTCCACCATCCGTTCTAAGAATTTTCAACTTCTGACATCTTTGTTTCTCACCCTTCGCCTTGAACTTCTAGAACTCGATAAACACTTCATGCTTAAACTTGATGAGTTCTATGCACATCATTATTGCAAACTCATCCATAAAAGACACAAAATACCTGTTTCCTCCAAGTGAAGGTTCTTGAAATGGTCGACACACATCAGAATGTACTACTCCCAAAGCATTTTTAGCTCTTGGGGCTACTTCTGACACAAATGGCAATCTGGGTTGCTTTCCTTTCATGCATACCTCACATGACTTCTCAGGCTTCATAATCTTCATAAATCCACACACGAGCTTCTTAGAACTCAGATGCCTTAAGCTTCTGTAGTTTAGATGCCCCAATCTCTTGTGCCAAAGCTTACTATCACCTTCATCACCTTCTGCACTAAGGCCCTCTATTTCAGCTATCTCCATATTCAACTTGAATGTTCTGTTTCTTTATAGTTCAGATTGCATAATCAGCTTCTGACTGGAATCATACAACTTCAAGAAATTGTTATTCATAACAACTGAGAAAAATTTCTCAATGAGTTGACCTACACTCATCAGATTGCTCTTAATGCCAGGAACATATCAAACACCCTCTATCAGAACAACCTTCCCATTCTTCACTTTAAATTTGAAGTTTTCGTAACTTTTGCATTAAGGTACTTATCATCAGCACATCTGATCTTTGTCCTCCTTCTGGAGTCAAAATCTATCATCCATTGTTTGTTTCCAGCTAAGTGGTTTGAGAAGCCAGTGTCTATATACCATCATTCTACTAAACACCTTCCATCAGACCCAAAAGCCATTAAAAGAACAGGTTCATCATTGGAATCTCCTCTGGCTATATTTGCTTCTTTTGATTTTCTTCCCTTGTTTGACCAACAATATTTAGCAAAGTGGCCAAACTGCTTGCAGCAGTAACATTGAACATTCTTCTTGTTAAACTACTCCTTTCTCTTCTGATATTATCATCGAAGTTTGAGGCTTCTGACTTCTGGAAACTACCACCATGTCTCTTATTGGCTTTTGACCAAGAACGCTTCTAGTCCTTCTTGACGAAAGAAGCTTTTAGAGATTTCTCAACTTCTCTTTAACAAGTTCTCTCAGTCAGACACAACTCTTGCGTTTCTAGACTACTTTGCAGCTCTTCAATTCTCATAGAATCCAGATCTTTAGAATGTTCAATTGCTACAACAATGTAATCAAATTTAGGAGTAAGAGATATCAATATTTTCTCAATGATTGCTTGTTCAGAAAGGGTATCTCTATAAGCTTTCATCTCATTAGTGATCAGAATCACTCTGAAGATGTACTCTAGTACCTTCTCAATGTTTTTCTTGTTGAGATTCTCATATTGCTTACGTAAGGATTGAAGCTTCACCTTCTTCACTGACACATCACTGTCATAGCACCGTGTCAATATATCCCACGCAACATTCACCATGGTCGAAACAATGATTTTCTGAAACACATTCGCATCCACACACTGATGAATGTAGAACAACACCTTATGATCTTTCTTCTCTGTATCTCTCTGTGCAGCCCCATGTTCCTCTGTCGCATCTGCCGCAACCGAAACATAACCTTCAGTGACAAGATCAAGCACATCTTGAACACCGAACAACACACGAATCTGAATCATCCAGTGATTCCGGTTCATGCCATCGAACACTGGAAGTTTGGTGTTCAGACTGCTTCCGCTCATTTTCAACCTTGTGCAAGTCTCTCAGATCTCACCAAACACAGTGTTTTCTAATCCCGCAGAATCTAGAAATGTGATTCTGTTACGATCTCATTTTAGATTCAACACGAATTCAAGAAACAAAATCAATCACACAACGCCTCACCGTTTCACTCGTGTTTCCCGTATTTTCCCGTGGATCTGAATCGGAACTCTAAATATCAATTATTAGTGCACTGGGTGATGAAGACAGAAAGAGAATATATTTTATTTATCTGCATAATAACGACTACAAAAATTGTAAAGATTAAGAATATGACAAATATCACTAGTCTATTTATACACACATATTAGGGCCACATAGACAACATATTAAAATACTATATTGCCCTTCAATAATGTGAAGCCCTATGGTTATTATACCTTCTGCATAATCTCTTCTTTTTTTTATCACAAACAACATGTGACGATATTCATATTGCCTCAAACCCAGTGTTTCAGAAACAAACATAACATATTGAGACGAAATGCCATCAATTCTAAAAATCAAGTCGCAGACATCTTCACGATAGCTCTTCATCTCATTCTCTTCACTTCCTCTTGTCGGGAAACACAGGATGATCAACGTCCATTTCAATTTTTCGAACGATAAAACTTTTCCTTTTGCTTTTATCAATATGCTTCCCCGCCATGCGTTAACATTAGGAATCAAATTCATAGAATTTCAAAAACTTCATTTAAAATTTGAGATGATTAAAATGATTGATATTTTTCAAGTATAGATGACTAAATTATTCTTTCGGGTGGATTAAATTATTGATGATTACCATTTTAAACAATAAAATGCTTATTTATTTTTAAATATTTGTATTCTAATTGGAAAATGATGCACGATTAGCTAGATAGAAGAGTGAACAATACATAATAAACGCGTAAAAGGGTCCCATTATCAGTTGGTTACAACGCTAAAATCCTAACAAAGCCTAATACATGATCCTTTGCCTCCCACCCTCCAAGTTAATAATAAATAACAACAAGACACATTAGATAATGAAAGAGAGAGGAACATGGGTCTATAACTTTTATGCCAAGGGTCTTTGGCTTATATATACCCAAGTCTTAGCCACTACTTGAACACAACAACACACATCATGGCTTCTTCATTTTGGACTCTGTGTTTGATTCTTGCATCACTTGTTTCTTCTTCATTCTGTGCTCTCCCACGGAAGCCAGTGGATGTACCATTCGGCAGAAACTACTATCCAACTTGGGCTTTTGATCATATCAAATACTTCAATGGCGGTTCTGAGATTCAGCTTCATCTTGATAAATCAACTGGTTAGTACCGTATTATTATTCGTCACTATATAGTTTTAAACCTGTTACTACACTGTTCATGTATCTAACTAGTTTTCTAAACAGGTACTGGTTTTCAGTCCAAGGGTTCATACTTGTTTGGTCATTTCAGTATGAACATTAAGATGGTTCCTGGTGATTCTGCTGGAACAGTTACTACTTTCTATGTATGTTTAAAAATATATATATAGTAATTTTCTATTACTATTTTTAGTATTTTGTTGTAATGACCTATGTATTTACTGAAACTATTTTACAGTTATCTTCACAAAATTCTGAACATGATGAGATTGATTTCGAGTTCTTGGGCAACAGAACTGGACAACCATACATTTTACAAACAAATGTGTTCACTGGTGGACAAGGTAACAAAGAACAAAGGATATATCTCTGGTTTGATCCTACAAAAGAATTTCACAGATACTCCATTCTATGGAACATGTACCAGATTGTGTAAGCACCACTTTACTCAACTATTATTACCCTAATCTTAAACGATCTTACTTAACCTATGATTGATTTGTAGGTTCTATGTGGATGATGTTCCAATAAGAGTGTTCAAGAACAGCAAGGATTTGGGAGTGAAATTCCCATTTGACCAACCAATGAAGATATACAACAGTTTATGGAATGCAGATGATTGGGCAACAAGGGGTGGATTAGAGAAAACAGATTGGTCAAAAGCACCATTCGTAGCAGGTTACAAAAGTTTCCACATTGATGGCTGCGAAGCATCTGTTAATTCAAAATTCTGTGCAACACAAGGAAAGAGATGGTGGGATCAAGTTGAGTTTCGTGATCTTGATGCTGCTCAATGGCGTAGCTTAAAGTGGGTGAGAGAGAAATACACCATTTACAATTACTGCACTGATCGAAAACGTTTACCTCAAATTCCGTCTGAATGCAAAAGAGACGGTGACATTTGAATATTCATGTATACTGTAAACTTTTACTACCTACTCTATCATAAATTTATTCTTGTATGTAATTGTATCGTTAATTATTTGTCGTTAATTATTTAAATTATGTAATAGTTCAAGGAATTTAAGTTGAATCTAGTGGAGCCGTTATGTATATGTAATTCTATATTTATTGGTCATTTATTAATAAAAATAACAACTGTTTGCTATATGTGTATATCCATTGCCATTTCTGGTTATTTCAGTAATTCATTATGATCTTGAGATGTCCTATATGTATCAGCCAGCAAAACAAACGTTTAATAAAAGAAAACCTAAGTAAAGCTTTTTTCAAAGTATTTAGGAAGGTATATAATTAAAATTATAATATGCATCACTTTTAGTTATTTATTAAGCCCTGCCCAAGGTTACTCAACTGCTTCTTTATTCGAGGCGATTCATGAGATAAAAAGTACGTTATTCTCGGCTAATTTGATCTAGGTCATTGATCTTTGTGTTACTTTTTTGAATATGAGTTTACATATTATTTCTTAATTTTGTAATTCTTTTGTATTTTCCTATCTTCTCCGCATTGTTTCAATTTATTCCTCAAATCTTCAATCCCGCTTGTCTAATTAGTGCTAATGGCGGCAATCACCGTAGAAGATTATTTGTCGGTAGAGTCGTCACCCTATTTAGCCTTATGAGTCTGTTTTTGTCCCGTGGAAGGAGATGTCGTTTGATCCATTAGAGACAGGGGTTTCTTTAGAATGAGAAATCTCTCTGATTTTGGATGAAAAAGGACTTTTCACCAGTTCTAGAAGTGTTTTGTCCCTTTTTATGCTTGTATCTTTTAGGACCTAGAGGTTCGTCTTCCATTAACCCATTTTGAGAAGAAGGTTCAAGATCATCTTCATATCGCTCCTTCGCAACTCCATCCTTACGCCTGGGATTTCGTGCAAGTATTCCAATAGTAAAGGTTAAGGAAACACAAAAATGGGAGGTTTGAATTGAGTTTTTAGATTGAAACTTTTTCGTTACCCAAGACAAGAAACAAATAACTTAGAATAAAAATAATAAACAAAATATTTTTATCATGGTTCACTGTTAACGAAGCTATCTCTAGTCCACCCACCCATGTTATTTCGCTTTCTTATAAGGAATTATTCCACTATAACCAAAACTTGATTACAACTACAAAGACTTATTGTTAATGTCTTTTGAGAATTCTGACTATACCCTAGTATCTCAAGGAATAATAACTCAAAGGTTGAGATACGAAAGGTGTGTTTACAAAGTTGCTTCTATAAAGTTGATTACACAAATGAAATACAATGATTAACACAAAAGTGTTTTTGAGAGCAAGTGTATGAAAAAAATTTCATTGCTTGATGCTTTTTTGTTTCTCAGAGTTGCAACGTTTTCATTCAAGAGTGCAAAGTTATTTTCAATTCTTTCATGTCTTCTTTATATAGCCAAAGAAAGATCCGTTGAAGGGTGAAGACAAAGTTCCATAATTTCTTAACTGTATCCTTGCATAACGGTCAACAAAAATGAGATACAAAATAGTACAATATTACAGTCCTTTCTCCACAAAATCAAAGTAGTTAGAGGAATATTTGATCTTGTACCATATACTGTTTTCTAACGTAAAACATTTTGATCTTATCTTCTAATCTTCAGAAGATTCAGAATGCATGTTGATGAAGCATGTTTTGAAAGATCAAACACTTCATCATAGTCTTCAAAATCTTCAGAACATATCTCCAAATTCTTCAAAACCTGTCTTTAGAGTCTTCAGGGCTTTATGGAGCATAAAAAATTAGAGCTTGAAAATATTTACAAGCTCCTTGACCAGAGTCATAATCAGAAGCTATTTGATGAATGTTCTTCTGAAGTGTTGTTTAAGAGCGTTCCACACTTGAAAGTTTCTTTGTAAAGTGCACTTTGTATTTCTTCATAGTCAAAGTATGTTGAGTTCAGAAACTAATGACATCATACATCACTTCTTCAAAGTCAGAACCTGTAAGCAAATAGCTACACACTGGAAAAAACCATTAGGGTACACAATTGTTCTATAAGAAACAATGTATTGTTATCATCCAAACTAAAAGCCAGATGCAGAACCAAATCTTGTTCTTACAATCTCCCCCTTTTTGATGATGACAAAAACATGTGTTTTGATGAACTTTTTTTTACTTGGTTTAATCATATAAAACAAAATCCGAGTAAGCTATAAAGCTCTCCCTGAGTTCTATACTATCAAAACTTATCTCAGCTTGTTAAGAAAGAAATGTAATGAAGTCTCAGCAGTAGTGGACTTACTTGAAGGAGGATTTTGAGGAGGAGGAGGAACAATAGCTCTCGCAGAAATCTTAGAACCTTCAGCAACATTTTTTGGAATACAATCCAGAGATCTTTTTTCGGAGTAGAAGCCTTTGCCTTCTTAGTTGGAGATTTAGCAACTCCGTAAGGTCCATCACCAACACTCTTAGAAGTGCTCCTCTTCTTTCTGACAAGAAGTTCAACATGCTCATCTGGAAGATCCTCGAGATAACCAGATTCAACAGCTCCATCATAAATGCTTTTAAGAACTTCTTCAGAAATATGTCCTAGAAAGTTTTCAATCATATTTTGAATAGCGTTAGGAGGTACACTAGGTTTACCACCGTGATCCACGCACATTTCTAGATAAATTAGCAGAGCATCTGTAGGGTCACCCATGGAAAATAGAGGATATTCAGCAACTATATTCCTCATGGAAAATATTGCTTTTGTGTTCAGCGCCTCAGGAGTATTAATGACCACAAAGTCTAGATACATATTCCTCAAATTCCTCCCATTGAAAGGTTTTCCAACAGAAGTTACCAATTCTTCATCAAGACTGTGATCCAGATTTTGATCTTGCAAATATTCTACAAATTTACTTTGAACAAGAACATCTAAAATCAATCTTCCCAAAGGTAGTTAAAATGTTGTTTTAGACAAAACTCGAGCTCCGTAACTCGGAATTGAGTCCCGAGTTTTGCATTGGGGAGCTATTCGTATGCTCTATCTCGTGATGAATGGATATCATGTTTGGATGATAGTTCTGACATGTAATAAGTCCATATTTGATTTTATGTTTAAGATTATAATGCATTGACAACTTGTTTATAATGTCATGCATTGATGTTAGGATGATGCCATGGTTTTTTTGCCTTTGTTGTGTGCAAGATCCATGCCTTCTTGACATGCATGTATGTTTTTTGGATATCATGATACTTATGCATTGGTTTCCTTATCATATGAATTAATTCTTAGTCTTAGAAGTATGGTAGATAATAAAGTAAACACATATGTTAATAAAAGAATAAAGGTATGTGTATATAAGAATTACTTAAAAAGGAATTGGTGAGTGAGCCACTTAAGACATGAAGAAACCCTAGTGTCTATCAGGAGTATTAGTCATTACGCTAACTTCTTGAATTTGTAAGTTGTATACAGTTAAATCCTAAAATTTAGATTAAGAGTGAAAGTATACATGATAACGGTAGGGAGGATTAAGTCCTCATAGTCCTCATGATTAAAGAGTTCCATAGTCCTCCCGAGAGTGTATAACCTTCGACGGAGGGGAACCGGTTCACATAGTACTTACTCCTTGAGGGCAATGCTTATATTTCTACTAGATCATTCTATAATATCGATACACCTTGAGGGTGATGGTCCATGAGCACGGCCCACATGTTAGGCGATGGTCCAGGAGCACAGTCTAAATATGTAGGTGTATGAGTGATAATCATCTGATTATGCTAGTGATAATGAGCGATGGTCCAAACGTTACCTTGAGGGAGATGGTCTTCGTGAATGGTCCATATGCTTGGGAGATGGTCCAGGTGCATGGTTCAAGCATGTAGGTGTTAGCTCCTAAATTCGACACCTACAACAAGTTGGTCTTATGGGCCAAAAATAGATTGAACAAATCTAAGTTGGAAAGGCTTCGACAAAGTAGAAAAATACTTAGAGAAATTCTAAGTTAAAATGAGTCTTCTACCAGAAGGTTCTCAATCCATTCGACTGAAAGGAACCCAAGGTCTTCGACCAGAAGGAAACTTCGTATCTGCACTAGAAGATTTTGAATCTGAAGAAAGGAGGGAAAAGCAGTTCGCTTGGCAGTTGAGGAAAGCAACGTGGCATGAAGAGAGGGGTCGAAGCGCATGTAGAAGACACTTGTCTTTATCCTAGACAAGGCAACTCCTCGACGGTTACCTAGTTTTAGTATAAATATAGGAAGTTTATGTAGATTTCCGGGTGTTCAACTGATCGTACAAATTATTCAATACTATTCAAGTACCCGCTACGTGAGAAAGAATAATGAAAAATGTACGTTTGAAACACCACAAGTTAAAATCAAAGTCTTTTATTTCTCTCTTTACATTTCTTGCCTTTTTATCTTGTTTTCACTTTATCTGCACTTTTACCCAGATTCCTGCACCTAAACTCTTCTCAACCCCTTTGTTCTATTTATTTTCTGCACTCAAACTTATCCATTTCCTAGTCGAACGTGCGTTTTTCACTCACATTAACGTTTGTGTCCAAACAACATAAAAAATTAGCATATGTCCTAGGATCAAACTGATCAATCCTGCGAGTAACCAAAAAGTTACCCTTTTTAGAAGATCAACGGTTGTTTACAAGAAAACACGGTGAACAAATTGGAACACCTGGTGGGACATTGCTAATTACTGTTGTTTTATTTATTTTGTCTTACGTTTTGCTTATTAATTTTAATATAAATGCTCCGCATGACTTTCTTTCTTTTACAAATTTTTGCATGCTATTAAGAAGTGGTAAAGTAACCACCAACGAGTGTACAACTAGAAAGAGAAATAGTGAAAGAAATATGGCTAATCATCCAAATAATCGAGAAATACCTCAACCAATTACTACGGGAACATCGGTAATACCAACCGTTAGTGAAATTGTCTCGTCAACTGTTGGTTCGATACCTACGTTAACAGCAACCCAAACGGGACCAATACTTTCAT